TACAATGCTTCAAAGTGATGTTCCCTTTGTTTTATGAAATTGTTTTTTTTAAGTCACATATCATGATTACTATACTTAACATGTTTCTCTGATTTTTTTTTTTTGAGAGGTTTTTGCTATAGGGTATGTGTGCTCTCTGGAGAGACAGAGAGACAGAAAGCAAGAAATCACCCCACCAGGGAAGATGACCACACTGCAATCCCTTCTCTGGCATTTTCCACTCAGGATTTTGGGCATGCGCACACATGTACTCTGAGTGATAAGCCACCAGGTTTGGGACTTGAACCATAGTCAACTACAAGTCCAGCGACATAACCACTACAGCACCTGCTGGTCCCTCTCTCATTCTTAAATAGTCACAAATATGTCCAGATCTAGAATTTTCTAAATGTAGCATGGAGAAATGATACCTTTCATTTTTAAATAAAATCAACAATTTTAGAAGCGTGGTTATTTTCCTATCAGTTACATTATGTTAGGAAACTTATCTCTCTTAACTTGCTCTTAGCTGATAAAGTTAGTGAGTGTATTATAATAATATTAACTTTTACTACTACGTATTAATAGTGAGAATATGAAGTAATTTATATCAAATACAGTATCACCACAGAAGTGTACATTATTTGGTTGTTACTTGTCTTTGTTTGTTTGTTTAAGATTTTTGTTATAGGGCATGTGCACTCACCGGAGACAGAGACATAAAGTGAGAGGGAGAGTGAGAAAGCACCCTTCGGGGACACTGGCCACGCTGCAGTCCTTTCTCCTGCATTCCCCTCTTAGGACTTTACACACACCCGCCAACATGCTCAACACGTTTTTCAAGTTGCTTGGTCCAGGACTCAAACCACCCTATTGGCCATGTGGGATCTGGCTGTTGTAACCTCCACACCGTCTCCTGACCCTGTTTTTTTTTTAACAATTAAATATATCCTGGGATTACACTACATTAAATTGGCTTAACTGTACACTAAGTTCTAGTCTACATTTTCTCCGTTTTTAAATTGCTTAATGTTATTTTACAAATGCATAACTCCAGAGGGATGAAGTTACAAATTCAAAGCCACATTGTCAGTGTAGAAGGAGGATTTGAGGCAAGGTCAATGAGATTCCACTTTCAATCTTTTCCTTTTTTTTCTGTAAGTCTGGGAAAAGCAGCTCTTTAATTTTTTTTCTTCAAAGGGTTTATTTCCTATCAGTTGGATTATTTCCCTCAAGCCCTTCACTCTCTAGCATCCTTTATCAGGCGCTTTGAACCAAAACAACAAAACAGGGCTCAGTGCTTTGACATATCCTTAGGTATTCTCTGCTGAGAGAGAGCCTGGGGGCTCAGTCTGGACTTTGTGCCATACAGGGAGGGAGAGAATATAAAATATGGGGAATAACAGATATACTGAGATTCTTTTCTCTGTTGAGAATCGTTGATTTCTTCTGCTTCCTTAAAGTAAGTTGCTACTTTTAGTTTTCCCAAAATCAGCCCAGACATATCATACTACATTGTGTTGTGTGTGATGAAAATTAATTGTGGGACTGCAGGTGGCACCATGGTTAAGGTGCAGGACTCCCACATGGCTGACCACGGTTCAAGTCTCAGACCTGACAGGTTGAAAATCATGGTAGGTGTGAATGCATGCCTAAAATCTCAGGAGGAGGATGGAGGAGAAGAGATTGTGGTGTGGCCATCCCCCATGGGGGACAATTTCTCACTTTCTCACTATTTCTCTCCAGTGAGCACACGGGCCCTATGGTAAAAACCTTTAAAAAGTGGGACCAGCAGTTAGAGTAATGGCTATGTCACTGGACTCCCACGTAGTCGACCGCGGTTCATATCCCGGACCCGGTAGCTTAAACTCACACCGGGTGCGTGTGCGTGCGTGCCCAAGATCCTGAGAGGAGAATGGAGGAGAAGGGATTGCGGCATGGCCATCCCCTCTGGGGGGTGATTTCTCGCTTTCTGTCTCTCTGTCTCTCTCTCTCTCTGTCTGGCGAGCACATGCAATGCACATGCCTTATAGCATAAAACCTCTTTGAAAAAAATAGAAAAATACATCATGAATTTTCCAACGACCCAATATCTTGAAGTACACATTGAATTGTCACCCACTCTCTTTACGCGGCTATGTTGTAGCACTCCAGAACTCACTCCATCTACCCATCTGCATTCTTGTATCTGTGCATGTTCTCCCTACCACTCCCTAGCCTTTTCCCCCAACTTCAGTACCTGTGACCACACTCCCCACCTCTCTGGAGTCAAATCTCTTAGCTTCCACAAATAAGTGAGAACACATGGTATTTGTTCTTCAGTGCATGGTGTTTTACACTTCGTGTAATATCCGTGAGGTTCATCCTCATTGCCTCAAATTACTGGATCTCATCCCTTGTTTCAGGGCTGAATAATATTCCATCATGTGTATATATACATTTTTTAAATCTATGCATCATTTGTAGGTGATACTATACTTTCCTCTATCTTTGGTGTGATTTTTTTTATTAATTTACAAATATATTCTTGCATTAATATAACTATTTCTTCTAGATCTACTCAGTTCTGTTTTTCTGGAGTTACATGGCTTATTGTTATTCCATCTAATGACAATGTTAATTTCATAGTGACATTTAATTTTTTTTTTAATTTCTGCATTGATGGCATTTTCCACTCAGGATTTTGGGCATGCGCACACATGTACTCTGAGTGATAAGCCACCAGGTTTGGGACTTGAACCATAGTCAACTACAAGTCCAGCGACATAACCACTACAGCACCTGCTGGTCCCTCTCTCATTCTTAAATAGTCACAAATATGTCCAGATCTAGAATTTTCTAAATGTAGCATGGAGAAATGATACCTTTCATTTTTAAATAAAATCAACAATTTTAGAAGCGTGGTTATTTTCCTATCAGTTACATTATGTTAGGAAACTTATCTCTCTTAACTTGCTCTTAGCTGATAAAGTTAGTGAGTGTATTATAATAATATTAACTTTTACTACTACGTATTAATAGTGAGAATATGAAGTAATTTATATCAAATACAGTATCACCACAGAAGTGTACATTATTTGGTTGTTACTTGTCTTTGTTTGTTTGTTTAAGATTTTTGTTATAGGGCATGTGCACTCACCGGAGACAGAGACATAAAGTGAGAGGGAGAGTGAGAAAGCACCCTTCGGGGACACTGGCCACGCTGCAGTCCTTTCTCCTGCATTCCCCTCTTAGGACTTTACACACACCCGCCAACATGCTCAACACGTTTTTCAAGTTGCTTGGTCCAGGACTCAAATCACCCTATCGGCCATGTGGGATCTGGCTGTTGTAACCTCCACACCGTCTCCTGACCCTGTTTTTTTTTTAACAATTAAATATATCCTGGGATTACACTACATTAAATTGGCTTAACTGTACACTAAGTTCTAGTCTACATTTTCTCCGTTTTTAAATTGCTTAATGTTATTTTACAAATGCATAACTCCAGAGGGATGAAGTTACAAATTCAAAGCCACATTGTCAGTGTAGAAGGAGGATTTGAGGCAAGGTCAATGAGATTCCACTTTCAATCTTTTCCTTTTTTTTCTGTAAGTCTGGGAAAAGCAGCTCTTTAATTTTTTTTCTTCAAAGGGTTTATTTCCTATCAGTTGGATTATTTCCCTCAAGCCCTTCACTCTCTAGCATCCTTTATCAGGCGCTTTGAACCAAAACAACAAAACAGGGCTCAGTGCTTTGACATATCCTTAGGTATTCTCTGCTGAGAGAGAGCCTGGGGGCTCAGTCTGGACTTTGTGCCATACAGGGAGGGAGAGAATATAAAATATGGGGAATAACAGATATACTGAGATTCTTTTCTCTGTTGAGAATCGTTGATTTCTTCTGCTTCCTTAAAGTAAGTTGCTACTTTTAGTTTTCCCAAAATCAGCCCAGACATATCATACTACATTGTGTTGTGTGTGATGAAAATTAATTGTGGGACTGCAGGTGGCACCATGGTTAAGGTGCAGGACTCCCACATGGCTGACCACGGTTCAAGTCTCAGACCTGACAGGTTGAAAATCATGGTAGGTGTGAATGCATGCCTAAAATCTCAGGAGGAGGATGGAGGAGAAGAGATTGTGGTGTGGCCATCCCCCATGGGGGACAATTTCTCACTTTCTCACTATTTCTCTCCAGTGAGCACACGGGCCCTATGGTAAAAACCTTTAAAAAGTGGGACCAGCAGTTAGAGTAATGGCTATGTCACTGGACTCCCACGTAGTCGACCGCGGTTCATATCCCGGACCCGGTAGCTTAAACTCACACCGGGTGCGTGTGCGTGCGTGCCCAAGATCCTGAGAGGAGAATGGAGGAGAAGGGATTGCGGCAGGGCCATCCCCTCTGGGGGGTGATTTCTCGCTTTCTGTCTCTCTGTCTCTCTCTCTCTCTGTCTGGCGAGCACATGCGCCCTAAAGCAAAAACCTTTAAAAAAACAAAACCAAACCAAACCAAAACAAAACCTTTAAAAAGTAACAAAAACCTTATTATGGAACAGAAGAGGTTACTTATAACCTGTAAATAAGAAACTATATTACTCTTTTTTTTTTTGAGAGAGGTTTTTGCTATAGGGTGCGTGCACTCGCCAGAAAGACAGAGAGAGACAGAGAGACAGAAAGCGAGAAATCACCCCCCAGGGGGGATGGCCACGCCGCAATCCCTTCTCCTCCATTCTCCTCTCGGGATCTTGGGCACGCACGCACACGCGCCTGGCATGAGTTTAAGTCACCGGGTCCTGGACACGAACTGTGGTGGGCTGCATGGGAGTCCAACAACATTGCCATTATGCCAACTGCTAGTCCCAAGAAGCTATATCACTCTTAAAAAAAAAAAAGTTGATTTATCTTCTGACTTGAATTATATTAGTATGTCTATGAAAAGCTATGGCTTGGGTTTTCCCCTAATTACTTTCAAACATTTTGCTAACTATCAATTAATACGTCATATCCAATGGGCTTCTCTGGCTTTTCATCTGCCCACAGCCTGCCCGTCAGGGACGTACAAACCTGAAGGCTCTCCAGGAGGAATCAGTACCTGCATTCCGTGTCCCGATGAAAATCACACCTCTCCACCTGGAAGTACGTCTCTTGAAGATTGTGTCTGCAAGGAGGGGTACCGGGCATCCGGCCAGACCTGCGAAGGTGTGTCTCCCACCCCTGGCAAATAAGAAATATACAAGCTGATCACTTTGAGAGAAATAATACTGATGTTTGCTTCCAGTTCATTTAGAAAGATCTTTACTATCTCTTTCTCTATCATGGTTCATAGGGTAATTATTTGCTTTTATTATACATATGTCTTAGCATAAAACACATCATATCTTGTTCCAGAGGAAGATGCTGTGACTCACTAGGAGTAACAGAACTGCAAAATCAGAAAGATTTAGTCCTTAGAAAAAGACCTAAAGTGAATAAGAGAGAAGCCACGATTATAACAATAAATCTGAATCATAAATGAGCTCATTTTGGCCCTGGTGATTAATTCACTTTTAAAAATATATTTTCATGCCCAGCTGCAGTGGCACATGTGGTAGGTTATCTGGGTCCACATGGAAAGCCCAGGTTCAGGTGCCAGACCATCCTGAACAGGCTAGATACCCGATCCTAGTTAACTGGGAGGCTGGGGCAGAGAGTGATGAAGGCGAGACCCTGTCCAAAAACCTCTCTCTCCCTCTCCATCCTCTTCAAGTGTGTGTTCATGCTTACACACGCTCTCTATTATATATATAATATATACTATATATTATATTGTTATATAGTAAATTATAGTATTTACAATATATTGTATAATACATAGCTATTATATATTATATATATTATATAATAAAGTTCTTCATAGCAAAACTTAAATATATTTTCACAGCATATGCCATGTATGCAAAGCTGTAGCTTTTGGGTTGTGGCAAATACACCTTGCTATCCTTACTAGTTTTTTTATTATGTGCCACTTTAATTATAAGGGAAAATATCTAATGACACATGAAGGTCATAAACTAGAAAATCTTATGTCCACACAGATATCAAAATTTAAAATTTTTAAAGCTTAAAATAGTTTAAAATGTTATTGGAAACAAAATACTTGGCAGTGGTCAGAAGTAAAGAGTAGTTTTTCAACAGTGTACTTAGAAGTTTAAATACAGTAGATGGGGATGTGGTAGAGAATTGAGATGTCTCTGTAAAATGTCTCCTTAAATAAAAAAAGCAACAATAAAAATAGAGTGCTTCATAGACAAAGACTAACTTTGCTTTTTAATTTTATTTCTATAAATATTAGTTGTCCACTGCCCTGCCCTGAAGCCTCCTGAAAACGGTTACTTTATCCAAAACATTTGCAACAACCACTTCAATGCAGCCTGTGGGGTCCGATGTCACCCTGGATTTGACCTCGTGGGAAGCAGCATCCTCTTGTGTCTACCCAGTGGCTTGTGGTCTGGTTCAGAGAGCTTCTGCAGAGGTATGCCAACTGCCAAGTCACATTGTTTGGTAATCATCTTGCTAGATTTCCTTGATTGAAATTCTAATGGGCCAGTCAGTTCTTTGTTTTCTTTTTTAATTTCATAGACCACAGACTACAGAAAGGGAAAAAAAATGATAGGAAGTTTGAAGTTGGAAATACTAAGGTCAATTGACCATATCATCACAAAGTATGGTTTTTATGTTCCTTTCATGAACGAGCAAAGGAAAGGCCTTCCTGGGACACAAATGGACAGGTCACCAAACCTCACATTTCACATACCAAGACAGGATGCCAAGGACTTTTAAAATAGAGTGGGGACTTTGCTGCCCTCTGTGATCACTAAACTCAGGATTCCACCAGTATTCTACTGAAGCAGTTCGCCATCTTGTATATCTCCAGCCTTCACCTTGAGTCGGTAACATGTTATATAGAATGTGGAGCATTTACTAAAACAGCACTCAACGGACCTAGTCATGTCAATAGAAAAAAGGGCATTATGAGCCAGCTCCATGACCTGGTGGATAAGGCAGTCAGATCCCACATGACAACCATGCAATTCAAGTCCTGGACCTGGTGGCTTGAAAAACACACTGGGTGTGTGGGTGTGTGTGCCTAAAATCCCAAAAGGAGAGAGAAATGGAAGAGAAAGGATTGTGGTGTGACCATGCCCCATGGGAAGGGGGCGTTTCCTCACTTCCCTTCTCTCTGTCTCTCCACTCCCTTTCTCTTTTTCCCCCCCCCCCCCTCTTCGCCCCCAAAAAAAAAAAAAAAAAAAAAAAAAAAAAAAAGAAAGAATGAAAGAAAGAAATGAGAAAAGAAAAGGGGGACAGTGTCATAGGTAGAACCTGAGACTCCCACATCAAATACAAAGAAATAAACAGAATAGTACCTCAGTTGACTGCCACTTGCCACCTCCAGGACCTACCTTCCTGCATCTTACAACTGTTGGACCATCAGCTTCCTAAGGTTCCACAAGTAAGGTTGGAAGAAAAAGCTATCTTAGAAAGGGTTAAAGGACTTAAGCATCTCCCATAGAATCCCTGCCTATGAAGCTTCTCAATAAGCATTGACTCCCTACCTAGGATGGCCAGATGAAATATAAGATGCCTGGTTGAAAATTAATTTCAGACAAAAAACAAATAGCTTTTTGTAAGAAGTTCCCATGTAAGATTTGGGAATTACTTATACAAAAAAAAAAAAAAAAAAGTCCAATTTCTGAAATTCAAATTTAACTGGGCATCCCGATTGGTTGGTTGGTTGGTTGCTAAATCTGGTGACCTTATCTCAGCTACATTCCATGGACATCTTTGGAAAATCACTTTGCTGAATATTTGACTGCCCCAAGACCTACCCATTGCCAGGATCATTGTTGTAGGATAAGGAATTCTGTCTCTGGTCTTTCCTTGGCTCCCATATTTATAAAAAAAAAAAAAAAAAAAAGTCCAATTTCTGAAATTCAAATTTAACTGGGCATCCCGATTGGTTGGTTGGTTGGTTGCTAAATCTGGTGACCTTATCTCAGCTACATTCCATGGACATCTTTGGAAAATCACTTTGCTGAATATTTGACTGCCCCAAGACCTACCCATTGCCAGGATCATTGTTGTAGGATAAGGAATTCTGTCTCTGGTCTTTCCTTGGCTCCCATATTTATAAGGGAAGCTTGCCTTCTGCCCTCTCTGTCATCATTTGTGAAACCTATGAGAGAATCATTGCTTCTATTTATCAGCTACCAATACTGAACCCATCTATAAGTATACCTACATCAGATCCCCAAAAGACAAGAAAACTATGAAGAGAATCAATAGATTGAATAAAAGAACTTGCCGTAAAAGGGGAAAAAATGAAATCACTGAGATTCAAAGGCAATTCCATTGCTAAAAATTCCAGGAAATAGGATAGATAGAAGAGCAAGACTGCTGACACAATGAATAGACAAAACTAAAAGTCAAATTAATAAATTCAAAAACCAATTCAAGAAGTTGTCTGGGGACCAGCAGTTGACATAATGGCTATGTTGCTGGACGCCCACGTAGTCGACCATGGTTCAAGTCCCTGACCCAGTGGCTTAAACTCACAGTGGGTGCATGTGCATGCGTGCCCAAGATCCCAAGAGGAGAATGGAGGAGAAGGGATTGCAGCGTGGCCATCCCCCTTGGGGGGTGATTTGTTGCTTTCTATCTCTCTATCTCTCTCTTTCTGGCGAGCGCACATGCCCTATAGCAAAAAACTCTCCAAAAAAAAAAGGTTGTCTGGAAGTAGAGAAAACTTTCAAAGACAAAAAAATTATGAAAAAAGACTCTTCTCATATTAGGAATCCAGAGAGAGAATGGAGTGGAAGAGAAGCACAAAGTGGAAGATCAAAGAATATATCCCCAAGCTGAAATCTTAAAAATATACACAACTGAAAGCTTTGATATTTAGTTAAAAATCACTTAGTGCCAGAAAACAAATTATTAAGAACAGATTCCATGTCTGGAAATAATCTGAGTAAAATTTACAAATTCCCTGGAAAAATAGAAAATTTTGTCTGTTTCATCGATAGAAATAACATTATCTACAAAGGAAAGAAAATCAGACTAGCCGTAGGCCCTTTTTATCTATTCTAAATATTAGAAGATAAGAGCATGTTTCTAGGATTCTGAGGTAAAAGAATGAAAGATTGAATTTCCAAACTGAGACAAGCTACTGTTACGTGTGAAGTCAAAGCCATTCCCAGTCGTGCAGTCCCAGATGGTAAAAAACCACACACGATTACTGAAAAAATTAATCATAGAAAACTTTAAAATGTATCCCTATAAAGTCAACAGTGGTTAAGTGCTGTTAAATCTCTACCCCTTTGGTACCAGCAGATGGTGCAGTGGTTACAGTGATGGACTCCCATGTGGCCAACCATGGGTTGAGTCCCAGAAACAGTGGCTTGAAACTCACTCTGTGTGTATGTATGCTCGAAATCCCAAAAGGAGAATGGAGAAAGGGTTGAGCCATGGTGGTGGGGGGAGGGGGCTATCTCTCTCTCTCTCTCTCTCTCTCTCTCTCTCTCTGGAGAGAGCACACTTGACCTATAGCAAGAATCTCTTCAAAACAAAACAAAACAAAACAAAACAAAACTCTACCTCTTCTTCCAAATACCTCATAGTACATGGTGGAAAAGATTTCATTTTAACTCTCCATTATTGGCCTACCAGAAAAGACTAGGAAAATGAGGGTAGACCTCCTCTTTTAGAGGAGGCCCTTCTCTCTTCAGCCTCTCCAATCCATACTCAACTCTTGCTTCCTTCACCAAAGCCACAAGAAGCGGCCATGCCCCCTCTCAAGAAGCTGTCCCTTTGCAGACTGCCCCTACAACCTTGATCATCTGATCACCCTTCCTTTGCTCTTGGTCCTCATAAACCCTCCACTGTTGTCTACTGCCTCAGCCTGACTGGGATCACATCTGTATGTCCTCCACAGAGCCCTTGCCTTGGGTGTCAGGGCCAGGCAGGAGAGCACAGCTGGCGTACTTGTCATGGGAGAAGGGATTCATCTTAGGAACTGGACCTTCTAGAATTTTAGAAAGAGTTTGAAAGCCAAAGGTTCAGAAGAGATGTTGGGGAATCAGAGGAGTTGCTGACAACTCAATCTGAGAAGCCAAGGCTGCCCGCCATTAACAGTGGAACTGCAAAGAAGAAATTTACTGGGCTATCTGAGAAGCTTTATTTCTGTGTAACCACACCCAAGAGCCCAGAGAACTAACCTGGAGCCACCACTGGTTAACAGTGTCAGCAATCAGGACTCAGAATGGAGCTTAGCAAAAACAAGCTGGAGCCACTGGACATCTCTACATTAGTCCATCACCCGATGTGACTACAAAGTCCACTGCTTCAGTTCTACTTCTCTTTTGACCATCCCTAACCTGAGGCCACAATAAGGGAATTCTGACAAGTTTCCCAGCTCAACCAACTTGCTATAATACAACCCATCTCACCTACTTTTATTGTTAATTACCTTGCCTCACTTCTACTGGACTGTAAATTTATTATGAGAACAGGATGTATTTTTTTTTTCTCTTTTCAATCTTGGTTATACCTCTGGTGAATGAATGGAAACTTGAATTTAACAAATACACTGATTGATAAATATATGTATGCATGTGCATTGATCACTTCCAGCTTCACCAAAGCATGCAAAAATGGCCTACTTGTACCACTTTCCATTGAAAAGCATGCCTCTTCTGTTTAAGCTGATTTCAGCTGCAATTCCAATATAAACAAAATGATTATTTTTGAGAGGTTTTTGCCTTAGGGCACATGTGCTTGCTACAGAGAGAGAGAGACAGACAGACAGTGGGAGAGAAAGTGAAAAATTACCCCCTCCAGAGGAGGTGACCATACCACAGTCCCCTTCCTTCATTATCCTCCCAGGATCTTGGGTGTAAATGCACATGCACCTGGCACGAGTTTCAAGCCACTGGGTCTGGGACTTGAATCATGGTCAGCCATGTGGGAGTCCAGCAACGTAACCACTTTGCTTCCGCTGGCCCCAACAAGATGATTTTAATCAGAATAAGAGAGATGCTACAGAACCACAGCTCTTCCTAAAATTCCTTCAACCTCACCACCAAGCTACTATCTCCCTACAATGTTGTCTTTAATGAAGACATTTACTTGGGCTCCTTCTTTGCCTCATTGCTATTGGCTAATAAATTTAGTTACTTGAGCTATTGTCTCTATAAAGCATAGATCATATTTCACTAAAACACTTTTTTTCACACTTTAAATATTGAGTGCACCTTAAAAATCAGTGAACCTTTGCTATTATTGTTTCTATATTAGTGACACATGAAATAATGGTGCGCCTTAGAAATTGGAAATCTGGGATTCAGTGGCAATTGGGTAGGGATTTATTTCTGTTTCTGAGTGGGTAGTATAGAGAGAGCAGGAATTTTTCCAAATCCAACTTAAATATAATTTTAAGGACAATGAGTTCTTTTACTTAATTTTCTTTCTTGAAAACCT